CCGTTGCGAAACCATTGTTTTCTTTGTGTTCCAGGCGCTCGACTTTGGGATGCATCGCGACCAGAGCTTTTTGAAGGATCTCGGCACGCGCGTGAGACAGCGCGCGCGCGCGTGCATTCGTTTCGCGTCGCGCAAGGGAGTCTTGAAAACTTATAGACCATTGCGCGCGCAATGTAGTTTTTTTTTGTTTGCAGGGGGCGAGGGCGGGGCCGGCGAGGGGTTCCCGGGGGCGGCGCGAATTCATTCTCAGGATGGACAATGGGGCAGATTCACGCGTAGATTGCAAGGCAAAAAGGCGCACTGTTATGTCCAGGGGGGGTTAGATCGCAATGCGTTTGTAGGAAAGAGAATCTGCGCCGCGCCGTCGTCCCGCCCGCCCGCCCGCAACGCGGCTTGCGCGCGCCCGTGCCGCGGCGATTGCGATGAGTGCTGGGGGTGCTGGGCGTTGGCTGGTGCGTCTCTGCGGGCGGGCTAGCCCGCGCGTGCCTGCGCGCGCGGCGGCCAGCTACCAAGCGGCCGCGGTGGCGCTGAGCGCTGGGCGCTTCCCAGCGGGCACTTCAGTGCGAGTCGGCGACTTGAGCGGGCGCGGCGCCGCGGCGACGTCCACGGCGGTAGACGCGAGGACGACGGTAGCGATGCTGGCGACGATGGCGAGAGCGACGACGGCAAGGCCAGCGACGGCGCCGATGCCGATCGCGCCGACGACGATGACGGCGACCTCGCGTCGGCGATGGAGGTTTCGGAGGGAGTTCGACATGCTCGCGCGGCCGACGCGCGAGAGCGGCCCGCGCGGCATCATGCGATGCGGACCGCGCCCCCCCAGCACGCGCGCAAGGACCTTCGAGCGACGTCGACGTGCGGCGCAAGAGGCCCGTCTGGCCGAATTTATTGAAAAGGGTTGAAGCACCAACGGTTTTCTTCATAATTCACAAATGCGTGAGCGCTGGTTTTTAATGAATTACGATGCACAACTATGTGTCTCTGTATGTTGTCGGGGCCATTCGATTTTGAGATCCATGCGAAGCCTGGGGTTTTAGAAGGATTTCGGCACGCGCGCGCGACGACGCGTTCGCGTTCACTTCGTTTTTTGGGGGGCCATTGAACGACAGCGCGGGCGCAGGGGCGCTCGAGCGATTTCGACATGTTCGCGCGAAAGGGCCGTTTGGTAGCATGTTAGGAAAATGTTGGACAGATGTGGTTTTTACCAAGAATTCGCAAAAGCGCGGGCGCAAGTTTTTTATTAAAAACAGTTTTGGCGAAACCTTGTGTTTTTATGTGTTCGGGGCATTCGGCTTTGAAACCCATGCGAAACAATTCGTTTTTGACTGATTCTGGCATGCGTGCGCGACAACGCGCGCGCATGCATTTCGTCCCGTTTCTTGTGGAAAAGGATTTTCGAAAACGAATGGTTCTTGATAAGCGAGCGTGCGCCCATTATTTGCAGGGGATGGGGGGGGGGCGATGCCGGCCTGCCTCGGATGGTACGGCTTCATATTTAGTATGGACGATGAAGCAGATTCATAATTGAGTTGCAAAACGAAAACGGGGGTCGTGAATTCCCGGAGGGGAGGGGGGGGTGAATTCACCCTGCCAAAATTGAGGTGGTCAACTCCATTGTTCGCGCAACCAAGTCACCTACTCACCCGCAATTTGGTTTGCAAAACCCATGCGGTGGTGATGTCTGCTCGGCGCTGGCTGGCGCAACGCTGCGGCCGCGCTAGCCCGCGCATGTTCGCGCACGCAGCAGCCAGGTAGCTTGGCGCGACCGACGCGGCCGCGGTGACGCTGACCGCTGGGCACATCCCAGCGGGCATTGAATGCGAATCGGCGACTTGGACGGGCGCAGTATCATGGCAACACCCACCACGGTAGACACGAAAACGATGGAGCGATGCCGGTGACGATGCTGACAACGACGGCGGCAAGGCCAGCGACGGCGCCGATGCCGATCACGCCGAGGATGATGACGGCGTCTTCGCGTCGGTCATGAAGGTCTTGTAGGGCACTCGCCAACTGAGTTCGACATGCGCGCGCGGCCGACTCGCGAGAGTGGTCCGCGCTGTATCATGTGATGTGGATCGGGGGCCCCCCCCCCCCCCCCCATCACGGGCTGAAGGGCGTTCGAATGATTTCGACATGCGGCGCGAGCCGCTTGGCCAAACTGAATGAACATGTTGAAACAACGATGGTTCCCGAAAGGATTTGCAGGAACGCAGGCGCAGTTTATTATATGAAACCTGGTGCCGCAAAACCATGTTTTTTTATGTTTGCGGGGCATTCGGTGTTGAAGTCCGTATGCATTCAGTCCCGTGTTTGTGCGAGGGTCTCTTGCGACACCATGCACGCAAAAGGGCGTTCGAACGATTTCGGCATGCGCTCGCGAGAGGCCCGTTTAGTAGCATGGGGGCCGCGAAGTGTGAAAATGT